CTCTGATTGGCTGACGACCGTGTTTATATCAGAGGACAGAGACACGGCTTACCGGCAAAATTTGTTTTTCGCTCGAAAAACGCAGAATAAACTTACAAAAGAACTATAAAACCTGTGTTCCTAAGCTTGATTGTCTCGTGTTTTTCAACTCCCACCGTGTTTATTTCAGAAGAACAGAGACACGCGCGCCCATATCACATAATAAACTCTCGTGCTGATTGGTCCGAGTTGACGAAAATGTGACATCTCCCTCTACTAACTATGGACGTACATAGTGAAGGATTCAGCGTGGAATCCAACGCTTTCAAAGCTGAATTCAATAAAAAATCAGGGATCCCGCGCGATTGAATTTTGATTTTGTCGTATTTTCTTTTCATTATTTTTAGTTAGCCTAGCCGAAGGCTAGTTCGACCTGAGTGTTACCTTTTAGCCAATCAATCAATCTATCTATCTATCTGTGCATTTTGTCGCGTTTGGAACACCGGAAGTTAAGAATTTAATAATTAACTATTGGGTTGGCTGTGTTATTTCATGACCGGAAACTCAAACGTATAGATGTACAAATATGGTTACTAAATGTTAGATGCTACTTGCGCTTTTATGTGATAAAAAAACTATTCGTTTACAAATGTGGTATCTGTGATCTCATCGGAATGCATCAGTCTTGGAATCAGAAGTACACGCATGTGCGGATCGCATGGAGCTTCTAGTAGTATGCTTACGAAACTTAATTCTAGCGTTAGACAGTCTTGTTTGAGCAAAGATTTCTAATTAGAACAAGAAGAAACTTTGTTTATCAATAACAAAAAGGCGACTTTGATTATTTTATAGGCATCTTTTTTAATGTATTTATTTTCTTGGCCTGAGAGGTCAAAAATTTGAATTAAAAACGTATTAGATATGATATCACTTAGAGACATCTAGTCTACCAGGTATTAATCACATGACCTTTTAGGTCAAAATTTAGATTTCTATCGTTTTGAAGTCGTTGCAGAGAGCAGTCAAAAAAATATCGTATCGTCAATAAACGGTCACGCATTCTTGCTTTTACTATGTATTAGAAGCAAAAAATACAATATTCTATAGGTAAATTCATTGGGTGACGAGTGAATTCCGCGTTGAATTCACGAGTA